CACAAGCCGCTGACGAGCCAGACCCGCCCATCAGTCGTCACACACCGCACGCCGCCGCATCAGGACAAGCTGACAAATAGGCCCCCTCTGTCAGCCGCCCTGCTACAGCGTCGTCGTCTTCCCCATGCTCCCTCCACCACGCGACCGGGAGCCGACCACGGAGCAGGCACGGGCTCGGGGTCACGCACATTGCATGACCCTGTCCCCCACCTTAGCGCCACGCCCACGCAACCGCCCCCGCACGCGTGAGTCACCCGATGCGCTCAGCGCATCACCGCCGCCCGATCTACCGCCATCGGAGAAGCCTGGAGCTTCGCCCATAAAAGGAGGAGCCCGGAACCCTAGCACCTCACCACACCTCGCCGCCGCCGTGCGGTTCGCACCAACACACTAAGCCGAGGGATGAGAGAAGGAGGGGCGTGGAGAAGGACGCCGTTGCCGGAGCAAGAAGGGAGGAGCCGCCGGTGCGGAAGACAGCGAGTACATCTGTCCCGGCTTGGCTCTGCTACACCGTCGACACCGCACCACCACCATCGCCTTCGAGCTCCCCACGGTGAGCCATCTTGCTGTGACCACCTCCCTAGCCAAATGGAACATGCACCGCCACGATCGAAACCTTGCTGAAGCTTCGAGCTCCGGCCTAGCCCAACTGGTTAGTTAGGGAGACCACCATGGCCACGCTTCCCGAGACCCAGGACGCACGGTGCGCGCTGCCATCAGCCAAAAGGAGGACCCCAGCCATGATGTTGTACATCGGAGCAGGAGCGCACATGCATGGGCACGCTCACCATGGCCGAGAGCACAACCATGGCGAGACCACCGCGTCTTCTATGTCGCGGTAAAGGCGATGTTAACACCCCGACTGGCTCCGTCAGGACGAGAGACACACCGCGCTCACCTTAGCCGAGGAAGAAGCCCACCGGAGCCCTGTGTTGCCGCACCGCACCTCGTCGGAGCACCACCGCCTCCGCTTTGCCCCCCCTCCCACCACCATGGTCGGAGCCACTGGGAGCACCAGGAGCTCCTTCAACACGCCTACCATGGTCGTAGAAGCACCGTGGAGCTCACACGCTCCTCCAACTGGGCTCTCGCTACCATTGTAGCCCTGTCCATGCACGCCGACGAACCCACGCCGCCGTTCACCGTGGCTGGAACCCTAGGAAGCCCCAGCCGCCACCTTGACCCCACCACTGCACTTGCCGAGGCTTGGCAACGCTTTTGCCTACCTTAATCGCACACCAGTACCACCCAAGAGGCTCGCCGGTGACCTCACCGTTGGCGGGAGCCCCGTCGGGGAAGTGAAGGGGGATTTTCCCCTCTCCGACCACCTCGACGATCTCTCCGACCACCTCGACAACCTCTCCGACCACCTCACCAGCTGATACACCACTCCAAGCCCTACATGCCACGTGAACCAGTCACAGTGTGACACATGTCAGCCCTGAATTAATCAACCTTTATTATTTTCAGAAATGGATTTAATCTTCAGAAATTCATAACTAATTCATACGACCTCAGAAAAATATGAAACTAGGACCAAAATTCATCTAAAATCGAGCTCTACGCAATGAACCCATGTTTGAGTGCATTTGGCTCTTTTGAATTTTCATTGCTTCTTTGTGCTATTCTATAGACGTCGCTAACGCGACTATAATTCGATTGTATGTAGACTCGGAGGAGAACCAGACGGACGAGGATCGTGAGTACCGTGAGGAGTGCGGGGATGACTTCACTGAAGGTGCCACATCCCACCCAACCTCGTAGCACCTATTACGCATGGCTAATATAGAACTGCTATTGCTTTACTTTATTGTTATATTCATACTATGATAGGACTTGCATGGTAGTATGCTTACTTGATGGCCTTTACCTTGACGCAACCTTACCCCTGCTTACCCTGCTATTAGGCTAGACACACGCTTGCTGCTATATTTCATTGCTTATTACTTCTACTACGCTTGTACTACATTGATGCGTGGTGGAAACTGGTGTTATCTGGACTATGAGGAGAGTGCTGCGTGTGTGACTTGGGTGCGTGGAGGGTGAGGGTTGTGTCAACCAAGTTGGAATATACGACGAGCCTGGGGCAAGTCTTGCTGCGGGGTGCTACCTAGGCACCCCTGGAAATGGATACCTGTGGTGGGTAAATGGAATATGAGGTGGCCCTGGGTGTGAACCTGTGATGGGAGGAGCCCAGGGTGGAGGTGCTGTGGTGGCACGATAAATGGAAACCCTGATGAAGACATTCTGGCTTGGTCATCCCTAAGGACTTACTAGTACTCAGATTCACCGGGAAGCCTTATGTACCACTCGCCCTATATGGTGCGGGACGGCCGAACTACTTGGTAGGATATTGCCACTACTGCTAGGTTGATAGCGGACAGTGCGAGGGAGGTACGGGGCGCGGAGGATTCCCCCCACACCCTTCCGAGACCTCATGGAGACCTTGTGGACCCGGCTCATGGCTCACAGTTTCAGCCACCCCAGACTAGACTTGGGGTGTACCAGGGCTGAATGGTAGGGTGGCATTATCCTAGGCTAGCAACCTGCTAGAATCAGCCCAGTTGACGATGGTCAGCAAGGAAGGCGGATCTTGTGGTTATGTAAAACCTCTACAGAGTGTATGGTTGATCGATCGATACATATGCCAACTTGTCGGCTATGGACCTTTCCTGGGTTTCGCTTAAACTAGATAGTGAGACGAGTCCTTCTCTTCTTCCCCCGTGAGAGAGTGTCGGTCATAGCCAGGGGCTATGGGCCATGAGACAGTGCCGAGAGGGAGTTGGCCGGTCGACTGAGCGATGGTATGGTGATGGTGAGGAGATGGTGGTATATCGATCCCTGGATCGAAAACTGGTTCTGGACAGAAATGGGGTGGAATGGGTGTGGGAATGGTGTTAAAACTTGACCAACTACTATTATATACTTGATATGCTAATACATAGGAAACCCCAGCCTTATAGGTTCCTTTTGATTATATCCAGCTTGCATCCAATTTTTACAAAGCAATGCTCATAGGGTGAGAGTGGCCAGTACAAATCGTACTAATAAATTTTGGCACACAGGTTCTGCTGAGGAGTATAGCTCTGAGGAGTTTGACGGTTGAGGGGTTCGTTCCTACGCTCGAGTTTGGCGATCTTATCTTCAAGCTGTTCTGAATGAATGTTACTTTTGATTCCGCCAATGCGGCGATGTAATAATTTATGTAATTCCGCACTATTTGTACTATGATATTACGATGTATGGATGTGATATTCGACTGGAATTTGGGTAATATGATCTACAACGGTCTTATTACACTTCGACTCTGTGGATTTCCCTTCGCGGAAATCAGGTCGTTTCAACCGTTGCCCGTGAGGATCTGCGATAGAGAGGTTGAGAGAGAGTAGAGGAGGAATAGAGGGGGAGATAGAGTATATAGGATCATACCATCGGTCTCGCCCGCCAAGTGGACTGCACACCACCACCGAATCAGCAGAGCCGCCACCGCTGTTGTGGCTATGAGATCTAGCCCACCAGAGGCCAGATCCACTCGCCCCTCGCTAGATCCCCTCCACAGCAAGGTCATGGAGTCCTCTCAAAGCATCGTATACCTCCCCACCGGTCATATCTCGTTGCTGGGGAGGCGGAGGTGTAGGCGAAGGCCAATCTCGTTGATGGAGAGGCGGTGGCCGGATCTCATTGCTAGGGAGGCGAAGGCAGAGGCGGATCTCGTTGCTGGGGATGTGTAGGACAGATCTTGTTGCTTGGGAGGCAGAGGCAGATCTCAGTGGAGGCGTTTGTGCTAGGGACGCGGCCGGATTTAGCATGTTGAGGGGCGGTGGTGGCGAGGAGGCAATGGTGGAGGCGAACTTCGCAAAGTTCCTTGGTCGTTTTTGGTCGTCAACAAGAACTTAATCTCCAATTTTCCCACGTCGAAAATAGATCCAAAACCAAAGAGACCATGCCAAAGGCTGAGCCATGAAGAGTAAGCAGGAGGAGAGGGGTTACTTCACCAGGGAATCACTACTTCTGGCAGGGGGAGACACACCATCGACTTGGTGAGCAAACATGTTTGAAGTTTCTAAGCAGAATTTGTGGCAAAGCATTCTCAGTGATGAATTTTGTGAATAACAAGTTAAGAAATAGCATGGGATATAATATTTAGTGAAATTTGTGATTAAGAAGCTAAGAAATTGTGTTGACAAAGTTAAGATTGAAAGTTTCGGGGAGCACTCCAAGTAGCGCCTCAATAGCCATTTTCGAATCCAAAAGGCTCAAGGATTTCAACTACTCAAGATGGGTTCTATAGGCATAAGCAAATTCCCTGAATAGCTTGTTGCCAGGCATAAAGAGCATCTCCAAGTGAGACTTTCTTATTTGGAAGATATAGTTTGAACTATAGGAATAATACAAGTTCTTTCTCATCACTAAGGTTTAGAAGTGTGAAAAATAAGACGGCTATATATCCCTCATGGTCAGTGGTGGACGAAGACCGAGGATCAGGGGAATTACTTGTCTGTGGTCTTCCTCCTCCACCTCCTCTCCCTCCAATTTCTTAATTGGAACCACAGGAGATACTAAAATCTCTCATGAAGAAGAACCCGTGGGAACAGGACCTATATATCTCCCGCCATTTTAAAATGCGAAGCTTACTTAATGATTGTTAATTTGAACCTTTCAAGTGACAATACAATCTTTAAGATTCAGAATAAACCGTGAGACATACATGAGATGTCTAATACAAGTAAGTGCTTCTGCAGCACTGAGTTATTGAAATCCGAAACAAGATTACCAAACACACCTTACATACGCCGCCGTTAGTCCACACATACATGTATTGCACACACACACTCACACTTATATTGAAAAAAAAAAAGCATGACGAAAGAAGGCAACATGCTAAGTCACGCTCATGCGTGTGGAAGGTGAACAGGGTGAACCTATTCAAAGGCAGCAGCAACGCAATTTGTAACTCAAAGAAAGAAAGTAACGTAGCTCTGCATGCAGCAGCCAGTCACTTATACTGCTTCAACAACAACCACCTCCAAAGCCGGGGCAGTAGTGCATTCACCTTGGCCCGAAGCCGAAGCGGTCGATGGAGTGGCAGCGTTTTCTTCTTGGATCACAACAACCGCGCCTGCGGCTTGGTTACCTGTATCTTGTTCAGTCGTCCTCTTTGCTCGTTCCAGCCTCTCCTCTTTGGAAAGGCGGAGCTGCATCCTCTGCTGCTTGTCGGCGAACGTCTCCAATCCTGCGTTCGACATGAGGAGCGCCACGTAGGTGAGGAACTCCCCGCCGTAGGCAAGGTTCTTGGCATGCATGTAACCCTTGCATCTACCTGCAGAGAAGCAGAGCATCTCGACCCATACACCCTTGATTACTTTCCACATCTTCTTCCCATCATCATCACCATCACCACAACCTGGCAACTGCATCAGCCCTTGAGCAAGCAACCAAGCACCATGAAGAAAACGCTCTTCGGACTTGGCGGCCTTACTGATTACCTTTTCTGTCAGTGTCAGGTGCTTATCATCTTCACCCTGGGCCTGGAGGATAGCATCATCAAGTTTGCTGCAGGCATCTTTGAACAGAGATACTCTACTCCCAGGCAACAACATCTCAGTGTTAGCACACAGCAGATACATCATGTAGTTGGAAATAATTCTGCACAAGTTGGCAGGTTCAGGATCAACAGATGCCCCCTTGCAATTGAAGCAAAGATCTGTGGCCATATGCCAGAGGACTACGCTCTGGTCGAAGGGCTTCTCCAGGCTGTCCCAGAGGATCACCATTTCTTGGCATCCATTGCGCTCAAGTGTCCAGTGGCCCCTACTATCACTCAACTTCCAATAGCTCTCAACATCCTTTATGCCATTCATCCATGCATCTTCAGCGTAAGCGATGACCAAGCTTGTAATGTCCTTGCCCCTGCGAAACAACTTTCCGCGCCCGAACCAGCGCTGCTGAAGCAAGTCCTGGCAGCCGCAGCACTCGGGCCCACCTCCAGCGATGGAGGCTAAAAAACTGTTCTTCTTCTCCTTAGCATCCAAGATTCCTATAAGGCTATGCTGTTGAACCTTGACGAAAGGGAATGGGGGAAGACCCACAAGACGCAACACTATTGTAGACACCTTCCACCATCGGAAGCTAAAGGTAGAAATGTTCAATCTTGCAGGCACTGAAATAAGCTCCGAAAAATATGTGATGTACAATAATATATATGTAACCTTGATGTCACTTCCCCTGTACGCTTCTTTATGGCTGATGTGGAAGAGGACGATGGAAGCGACCGGGAATGTCATGGTAATGCCCATTAAAATCACCGATAAGTAATCAACAATTGTACTAAGTGGTTTATCCCAGTTTTCATCATCACCATGTCGCCAGATCTTGGTGTAAACAAGATCGAAAGTCTTGGAAAGCCCTTCACGTAGCGCTTTAAAAGCCGATTCTGGACCCAGCACCCTCAAGGATTTCAGCTTCTCAAGGCGGACACTGTAGGCATATGCATAGTCTACGAACAGCTTGTTAGGTGCAGAGATCAACTCCATGTGAAACTGTTGTTCAGCCTCCTTCAATGTTGTTAGTGCAGGATCTTGCTGCTGGATGTTGTTGCTTTGCATATAACAAAATCTTGCATCTTGTATGTACTTTTCAAGCTCTACTTCTCTGTTGGTAGTAATCTCTGTCATTGATGCTGGAACGAAATAGGTGATTAGGTTATTAAAGCTAGCTCTCTTGAGAGCAAGGGGCTTCTCAAAGCATCTGACAATCCCAAGGATGAACAGCACAATTGCTGCAGCCAATAACCTCTTGTCAGCCAACGGCGACCACGTTGTCCAAAACACGTAGACGGTTACCGTGACCTGAGGAATAGAAGTGTCCAAAAATTAACATCGTTGCTACCAAATGTAAATGTGAATTAAATGGTGCCCTCTATAATGACATATCTTGCTATTACTAGACTCTAATCCCAAATCAATTTTTCTCACTAGACACGCTGAAGTAATAAAAATGAATGATAAATACTAGCTACAAAGTTCTCAGAAAAATCAGAAACTACGGGTCATCATTGGCAAATAATAGCTATCGGATCTATCAATTGCCACTTTTAGAAAATAAGTCTAAAATAACCACTTAAATCTCTATCTAGGTTCACCTAGCATTGCAAAAATACTAAAGCCAAGTGAACCCCTAGATCTTGATATAAATAATTCATAGGTAGATATATACCTAATAATCCATCAAGTATCGGATAGCCCTTCGGTCGGGCACTGGGCCAAGTGACACAAGGAACCAATAAAGCAGACAACTGAATAATATACCCATACCAGCATGGGTGGGAAAAGGCGGTTCAACATGGTCCATCTTGGTGACAAAGAGAAGGTTTTAGGGTTTATGACTTACCTCATTGCATCCAAAGCTATACTAGGGTAGACTGATCATTGATCAATACGATTAAAAAAAAAACAGGACGTAAGGTACTACTACAGATTGCAAGGGCTCCGATCTTTTATAAATATTGAGTCCTCTTGTGTTCTTGTATACATCCTATTGTTGACTAATGTTCATTAGGTATGGAGCCCCCACTGTGTGTCTGGTTTACGAATCTTCAACACCCCCACTACAAAAAAATACTTGAAAGTAACCACCTCTACTACTATAAAAAAAAGACTAAAGTGAACCATGATTCCCATCTAAATTATACACTTTCACCATTATGAACATACTCTTAAATAAACCCCCTAAATCTAAGTTTCCATTTCTTGCATTATGAAGATGCTCTAAAGCAACCCCATAAATCTATAGCTGAATTATCTACCCCCTCAGCTTTTATGAAAACACTCTAAAGTTATCCATAAACCTATACTAAATTACCCACCTCTATCATCACTATGAAAATAGACTAAAGTAAACCCCATCCTCATCTAGATTACCCACTTCTGTCATCACAAATATACTCTAAAGTGTGCCCCTAAACCCATATATAAATTAATTACCCACTTATGCCAGAATAGTAGTCTAAAGTAAAAACCCTAATCATCATGTAACTTACCAAACCCATATCACTACAAAAATAATCTAAAAGGTTCATCTATCTATGCTACCTATCTCTGTTATAATTATAAATAACCTAAATTTAGCAGCATGACATTTCAAACTAATCTAATGTATTCACAAATAACCTGAGCTTAGCAACCATATCTATGCCTTTATAAAAAAGTATAATAAGTAACCTAATTATGTCTAAATTACCCACTTCCCATATATTATGAAATAACTTACAGTAGTTATTTAAATATAGGTATATCTAAATTACATATCTATCATTATAAAAAAAAAAAGATATCCTAGAGTACACGTACAATATGTTTCTAAGTTACCCACTTCTTATTATTATTATTATTATTATTATTATTATTATTATTATTATTATTATTATTATTATTATTATTATTATTATTATTATTATATCATCATCATCATTAAAAAAACAACTTCAAGATATATATACATGATGTGTGTTACCATTCATACCACATATAAATGCACGTAGGAAAGCTATTGCCATACAAAATTTATGTCAAACACATAACTAGAGCCAATGTTTTCAACTAAACACATGTTAAACTGACACAAGGTACGCTGCAATGGAGAAAATTGTGATTGGGGGTAGAACTATATCATACTAACCAGATAATAATTAAAGACAAGATAATTTCTATATGAGTACCCTATCAAAAATAAATAGAACAAAGATAAGCAATTTTGATTAGCCATGGACTCTAATTTATATTCATGGTTTTTTTAACATCATGTTATTAATGAATACCTGAGATATTGCGACGCCAACATGCCGTAGCCACAACTCGTTGTCCTCCATGTTGTAAGCGGATATGGTCATTCGCCCACCCAGGTGCATCAGCAAGATAGGTGCCCAGAGCACCTCTAGGTCGTGGCTGCCATTCATCACAGAAGAAGAGGCATTGTGCTGCAGCCTCTTCTGGCGGTTGAAGAGTGTGGCGAGGGCGTATATCGCAAGAGCATCCCCACCCAGGTACGACACCCAGATAAGAAGTCTATTTGTGTAACCGAGACCTGTCAGCTTACGGAAGGGGGCGACGACTGCAAGGTACAGCTGAATGGCGAGGCTGCCCAAGACAAGGATGCGCAGCTGCCACTCTTCCCACCAGTCCACCACACTTGAGATGCTCATCATTGTATTAGCTAGCTAGCTAGCTATTTAGTGGTGGGTTTAGCTTGCACCCCGCTCTGATGATGTATATATCTATATGACAACCAATATGAATGCATGCATGATAATAATGCTGACGGCATGCACAGTTGCAAAGATATGTGTATGTAGTCCTATATATATAGCTCTCTGCAGTCTGCAAGCAATGTGGATTGATAAACAAGCTATACATATAGCATCAATCCAAAGTTAAAGTTGGATTGGACCTCCCGTGTATAAAGAACCAAGCAAGGAATTCTTTGGTTTTAGGGAATCCACCACCCTTCTTGATAATTAAGATGATGCATTCTTATAAGTCCATCCACCCCAAATTTAGTGAAAATTTGTTCCTCATACTAGTATCCCCTCTGTATTGGTAACTCAAGTCGTTTTGGACAGGGACATGGTCTCCGAAACATAAGTTTGACTTCTTATTTTTATAAAAATATTTATCGGAAAGTGATATATGTATATTTTTATGAAAGTACTTTTCAAGACAAATCTATTCATATGATTTTCACATTTCCAAACTCAATAACTTAAAAGTTATTCATGATTTATATTCCTAATGTTTGATTTCAATTCCACTAACAAAACAAAACAAAATACTAAAAGAATGAGACGACAATGTGTGAACTCTACCTCATTTCACAAAACAAGGGCCCATGCATATTGCATAGTACGGGACCAGGAATACTATTGTGATCAAGCAAAGAGCACAGACGACAGACGAGGCAGATAAAAGCTAGCGCTGGTTGTGTGCTTTTCTTTTCTTTTCCTTTCTCTTCTGTCCCAAGCTGCTTGCATTGTGCCCTGCCTCTAATACAGATCCAAAGCTATAGTCTTGTCATTGCCTGCGTACTCGATCGATCTGTATGCCTATATTTATATGGGGCACAATCCAAAGTTTTGGTTGGGACACATGGATCTGGCCTCTCGTTATAAGCAAGGGATCTAATAAAATTAATAAGATCTGGAACGGAAGGCAAGGAGCATGGATGATAAAGCTTCTCCATCTATCTATCGTGTGCTTTTCTTTCTTTATTATAACTTTAATTCCGCGCCAAGCTTGCGTCGTGCCTCGAATAATAGCTAGCATAGAGAGGTTTTGAGTGGCCATTTATAGGTAGGTAGGCCTCTTAGATAGAGAGTTCCTTCTTAAGAAACCGTGGATTTTTTTTTAGTACTTCTCCTGTACTTTGCTTGAATTTTAAGATATTTTTAGTCAACACTATTGTACAACCAACTAGTACAAATAAATTGTAATTTTTGTAATTTATTATTTGTCTTTGTTATTTGTTATCTGTTATGACGTAAAAAATAGTTTGTAGCAACGGGGTAAATTTTTTTGTAGGGGCGGCTGTTGAGCCGCCCCTACAGTGACGTGCTTGGAAGCCTAGAGACCAGCTGCCCCTAGAAATGGAACAGCAGGGGCAGCTGGTCATACGGCCGCCCCTATAAATGGGTCGGATTTGTAGGGGCGGCTCACTCACCAGCCGCCCCTGGTATTGCTATTTGTAGGGGCGGCTGGTGATTGGGCCGCCCCTACAAATGCCCACGTATAAATACCTCCGATTTGTAGGGGCGGCTCAATTACTAGCCGCCCCTACAAATGACCCATATATAAAGCAAACTGCAGCACCTTCTTTCTCCTTAGGTCACTCATTCCAACCCGTGAAAGAAAGGTGGGGAGGCCTTAGGCACCTCCCAAAAATTGCTCTACTAAGGGAGGAAGGTTTTGGTCTTAAATCCTTTGGTGGAGAGGTTGTAGACGGTAAGAAAATGTTATTCCACACTTTTTTTTAAGTTTTAATGGTTGGTTAGTGAGTAATTAGAGTTTTGCTTTTCTCTCTCTTCTATGGTGCTTGAGCTACTTATGAAGCAAATTAGACCCAAGTTTTGAATGTACTAGGGTAAATTAGGGAGGGAAACAAGATCATACCCTTATTTCGTCTATGTTTCTTAATTTTAGTGAACAATTAGTTAGTTTTATGGATGTTTCATGTGCATGTAGATCTAGATCTAGGGTTTGGTTTTTTTATTAATTTCGGTTTTGAAAATTTGTGTTTGATGAAATTGGACTAGGGGGTTTGTATGAAAGATATTAGATAAAATATAATTGTTGCTAATTGTTATCTTTGAAATTGTTTATTGTAATCAACAAATATGTATTTTAATTATTTATGGATAAATGGGTCATTAATAATTTTTCTTCTACCATGGTGTGTTTGTATGCTTCATGTAATTATATTTGATTTATATTCATATATATCTAAAGTATATACAATTATTCTTAAGTAATTATTAATTTGATTCATTTTTTTATATATCTGAATAAGTAGCCCTTTAATGTTTCTTTTGTTGTTGTTGTAAAAGATGGAGTAGAAGAACTCTTGGATGTATGGTTCATTAAGGTTCAAGGCAGGTTTCCGTGAAGAGGTGGATAAATTTATTGAAGCCGCAAAAAAGCATGCAACGACATTGACAGAGAATAAGGATACAATTATTTATCCCTGTAAAGATTGCAAGAACCGTATGGCATGAACAGATGTGACTATCATCAGATCACATTTGATTATGCGAGGATTTGTTGAGGACTACACAGTGTGGATTCATCATGGTGAAATGGTTATTGTTAACGACGAGGATGAGGAGGAATACGACGACGAAACCCTAGAATCCCTAGATTGCATGAATGGATTCAGAGTTTGACAATGAACAAGGTGGGTGGTTGGGATGGTAACGACGGAGGTGGTGCCAATAATGATGGTGGAGCACGTGTCGGGGATGAAGATGATTTAGAGGACATGATTCGAGCCCTTGGACCAGAGATTTTACTAAATAGCTCGAAAGGTCTAGAAAATTTAAAAAGGGTGACAAAAGCATCGAAGGAGACTGTGTATGGTGTTGAAAAGGGTTGTACGACACATTGGACATTGCTACATTTTGTGCTTGAGCTACTCATCCTGAAGGCTAAGTACGGCTGGTCAGACTATAGTTTCAATGATCTATTGCATCTCCTGTCATGGGTGCTGCCACAACCAAACTCAGTTCCCGCCAACACATACCAAGCGAAGAAGGTCATAAGTCCATTGACAATGGGGGTTGAAAAAATCCATGCATGCCCCAACCACTGTATACTTTTTCATGGCGAAACATTCAAGTCACTGGATAAATGTCCTCGGTGTGGGGCCAGCCGATACAAGAACAATGACCTTTACAGTGGGGACGAAGCCTCCACGGGGAAAAAGAGGAATAAGAAGGGTACAAAAAAGGTGGTACAAGAATCTCAGCCCCTAGAGGACACTCCATTAGGCAACGATGCAAAGCAGAGAAGAATTCCGGCCTTGGTAATGTGGTACCTACCAGTGACCGACCGCTTGAGACGTATCTTCCTAAACCCTAAAGAAGCCACACTCATGACATGGTGGGATGATGAGCGCAAGGTGGATGATGATAATATTGCACACCCGGCTGATTGTAGTTAGTGGCAAAGGTTCGATGAGAAGCACAAAGAATTCAGCGATGACCCAAGGAATGTACGTTTTGGCTTGAGCAACAATGGAATGAATTCCTTCAATGAGAGGATGAGCGACCACAACACTTGGCCAGTGATCTTGACCATGCACAACATCCCAACATGGTAGTGTCAGAAGAGAAAGTACCTTCTCCCCACTATTCTTATTTCTGGCCCTAAACAACCCGGCATTGATATAGACATGTTCCTCGAGCCTTTGATGCAAGAAATGGAGAGGCTATGGAGGCATGGGGAGCTGATGTACGATGCATTCTGAAAGGAGAACTTCATATGTAGAGCAATAATATTTGTTACTACCAATAATTACCCCGCGTTGTTTGCTTTATCTAGACAGATCAAAGGGAAGACGGGATGCTTGGTTTGCTTGGATGGTACTACATGGGTGTACCTGGATGCATCCAAGAAGATAGTTTACCTAAGGAACCGACTCTTCTTAAAGACAAGTCACAAGTACCGCAACAAATTATTCTTTAGATTTTATGACAACACCCCAGAGATTGAACCCCCTCCGGAGAGACGTCATAACGGAGAACACGTGTACCGAATGGTGAAAAACATACGCGTCATCTATGGAAAGAAGAATCCGGATGGGACAAACAGAGATAGAAGCACACCTTCTGCCGAAGGCGTACCTTTCAAGAAATAATCAATCTTCTTTTAGTATCTACCTTATTGGCCAGACTTGGAGGTCCCCCATGCCATTGATGCTATGCATGTGTAGAAAAATGTCTTTGAGAGTCTCATTGCTACCTTGATGGACGCAGGCAAGTCAAAGGATGGTCTAAAAGCATGGAAAGACATGGTGCAGCTAAACGTAATGCCACAGCTTCACTCGGTACCTGAGGCTAATGGAAAATACACTCTGCCCGCGGCGTGCTTCAACCTAACACCAGACGAGAAGAGAACTATATGCACTTTCCTGAGGGGGGTCAAAGTCTCGACTGGGTTTTCAGCAAATGTGAAGAAGCTAGTGTCGATGAAGGACTTGTCAATAACACACTGCAAGGCTCACGATTGTCATGTGATGATGATAGTGTTTCTACCTATTGCAATCAGGGCTATAAAGCTAGAGTTCTTGAAAATGGCCATCACCCGCATGTGCTACTTCTTTTCGAAGATCTCACAGAAGACGATTGGCAAGCAAGAGCTGAGTGACCTATATGAATTTATGGTGGAGACACAAAACCAACTAGAGATGTGTTTATCTCCTGCTTTTTTTATATAATGCCACATCTCATGATTCACATGGTTCATCAGATACAGGCACTGGGCCCTTGCTACTTGCATGAAATGTGGTCCTATGAGCGGTTCATGTCGGTTCTAAGTCGATACGTGCATAATTGAGCATACCCAGAGGGCTCCATGATAGAGGGTTACAATACTGAAGAAGTCGTCGAGTGCTGTCAAGAGTACCTAAAAGTACAGAAAGGGATTGGTAAACCCG